CCTCTTAGTTAATTTATTTGAAGTCCTAATCTAATTATTAACTCTTCTAAAAGGGATAAGCAGCTTTGTGAAACAATGCTGGTCCTCCCCGGGCCAGGCGAGTGGCGTCAAATGGCCCCAGGAAAGGTGACAATGGGAACCAGATGAGCCAGGGAGCGTCTACCCTGTCAGCCAAAATGAGATTTAGGGCTCCTAACAACCGGGGGCTTCTATTTAATAGTCATTTACAACCAAATTGATAAACTCTCACGCCTGGTAGCCCACCTTTTATTATTTTTTTTCCTCCCCCCCCCTCTTTGCAAAGTTAAATAAAATCCCACTCGAAAGCGGGTTGGAATGCGGGGAGACTTTCCAGACGCAGCGGGATTTGTCATGAGGACTAGAAAGACGGCTATTGAGGGCTGATTAGCCCCACTAAAGCTCTCTATGGAAATGAGGAGGGCAGATGGAAGACAGATTAGCTGCAAACGGGCTCTTTCCTTCGGCTTTTGTGGGGTTCCCCCCCCAGCTGCCCACCGCGGCTTCCACGCCTTGTTTCCGTATACATTTATTGCTCATTTCATCCTGCTTGAGAAGTGGAAAAGGGGGGGGGAGGCCTTGTCTTTCTATTTGGCGGCCACCGTTACCCTTCCCTGTCGGGGCACCCCTCTTTCCCCCTTGTCACCGAAAGAGAAAGGTGTAATAATTAATTCATGGAGCAATCCCTCATCCATAAGCTGCAATGGGACCCGGGAGACGACCCTATTCACTCTTGGCAGGCGGATAACAAGGAACATAGAGGGGATTTGTCCGCCAAGCCATTACAGGGGCTGTGGGTGGCAGGTCCGGCCCCCCCTTTCCTCCCCCCACCTTTTCAGCCGATCGTGGGCCCCCTTGGCTGGTGGAACAGAAGGTGTTCTTTCCCCAAACAATGATCAAGCATGAAATTTAATTAGCCGCAACCTTTGCTGCGTTTCCAGCTCTCCCTCCCCACCCCAAAAAAAGACAGCGATCAGGCGGGTGGGAAGGAGGGAGAATTAGGTGGGGGGGATATTTACGGCTTTTTTTTTTCTGGGGCTCTTTTCCTCTGGAGCCTCATATTGTACAAGGGGTCTCTCTCTCTCTCTCTTTCTCTCTCTCTCTCTCTCTCTTTCTGCCGCCCCCCCCTCCCCGTGCGCCCCAAATCTTTTTAAATGCTTTTGGAACGAAGCGGCTTAGCCCAGTTATTTGGAGTTCATATCTGTCACCTCTATTTAACAGCTTCGAAGGGAGGTTTTCAAGAGGCGCTCTTGACGTTAATAAGGCGACTCAGGAGTCGGGTTCTCCACCTTACGAGAGGGAGCAAAATTTGCCCCTCTCTGGGCCAGACCCCTGCCTCCTCCCCCCTTTTTTTGCCATGCTAATCTAGCTTTTTTTGTGTCCTGGCAGGTGTCCCCGTGAAGGTCACGAATGTGAAGGATGGGGCTGTTTACCATTCGTCCCTGGAGCTGTTCACTTACCTGAACGAAATTGCGTAAGTGATTTGGGTATGTCCCCCCCCTCCCTGTCCCACCATGCCTCCGTTTTGGTTCATTTGGCCCGCATCAGTTTTCCAACTCCAATACCGAGCCACGGAGTCCTGCAAAGAGTTGGGGAACTTAAACTTTACCTGTCTTTGCAAAAAAACTCATCTCTTTTCTGGGCCAAAAGTGCAAATTTAATTCCTTGTTGGGGATTAAATCAGATTGTTACCTAGATGGCTTGGGGTGGTCCTGGCCCGCTGGTTGCTAAGTTCTTCCTCTTTTTCTGAAAAAGAGAGAGATGTCCAACAGGCTCGCTTGAACACAGAGCTCACAGTGGTGAGAAGAAGGGCAAGGTGGTTCATCTCCATGTTGTCATTATTGCAGCTGGGAACAACCCTACTTTGATTCTTGGCTAGGCAAGATCCAGAGTAAGAGTTCAAAGGGTGGGCTAAGTTTGAGAAGAAGCAGGACCAGCTGGGTTTAACTGGTTAGTGCAGTTGGGACAGGTTATTGACTAATTTAGGAACACCCCCAGAAAGACTTGTGTCTCAAACACTGGAAAGGCATTGCCATTCATGAGCTGGGTTCACGCAATGCCTGCATTTCACCCGATAAGCAGGGTCAATTTTAACCTTGGAGTATTTTTGTTGCTGTGATGATGTAACCACAGGCTGTTGGTTTTGGTTTTGGTTAAGTGTATTTGTGAACCAAGAAAATGGGGCTAATTGAATCATCTGGATGAGCATGTTGGGTGAATCTGGGCACTGTAAACCAAGACTGTTGATTATTTTTGGGAGGGGTGAGCTGCCCCCTTGACCGTTCAATGGTATGCTGAAACTCCATCCCCCAAACTAGATAGAACTGAGACATTACCAAGACGTTACGTGGTTTAATTTTAATTGTGTTAAACACCATGTGATGATTGACTTCCCATGTGTTTAATACTGTTTTGGTTCACAAACAGAACTGCTTCAGCAGTGACTTTTTGAAGCCCCCAAGATTTTAGCTAGCCTCATCTTGTCCAAAAGGTCCAGATTAGGTTCTCCTGGTCTGGGCAATATTGAACTTGATTGATTGACGGTGTAAGAGTTGGTTCCTAGATCGCCAAAGATTCAGGAATCTGTTCTGTAAACAACCAGCTGCGACCTTCTTGATCATCAGGGAGAGACCTGCCCTCTTGCCAGATCTGCAGAAGGCTTTTAGGAAGAAAATTAAAAAGTCTTCGCTCCGTCCTAAACTCCAAAGAGATATATTGGTTCCCAATGGAAATTAGCTCAGTTGCTTGAATTCTTGCAACTCCGTCCCTTTTGTTTCAATAAATCTTGTTAAAGAAAACTTGGTGAGAGTTGCGCTTGGAGAAGAATTGCTTTTGATTTTAAGCAGTGGCCAAAAAAACCAGTCTTCTTTTGTAATGGTCTGTGGGAATATCCTCGAGAGACAGAAGGAGGAAGAGCCACAGGAGGGGCAATGGTTAGATAAGAGAAAGCTCAGCCCACAGAAGGAACGAGAGGGGAGAAAGCATCTCAGAAGGGACCCTCCCTAGTTTTCGGGACAATAAAGGAAAGAAGGGGAGAAATACTTTCAACCTTGCAAGATTCTGTTACTGTAACCTTATAATAAAGTAGTGTTAATACTCACGGCATTGGTTTCCTGTCCGGACTACCTCAAAGGGCTGACACCTTTGGCCTAAAATAGTTGGGGCTGTGCAGTTCTTCACTTTCAGATCCAGGAAAGTGCTTCAAAGCATGCAGGGGCCCCTGCCTGCAGGTCTTCATTGCTGGGAAAAGCCATAGCTTGGGGTGTTACTCTTGACAGGTATGCAAACCATTTGTAGGGAGTCTGGCAGTATACAACTTTAATAAATAATAATATTTTTTTTAAAAATCCCCAGCAACTTGACAACATGCTGCTGGAGAACTGCTGTCAGCCTTCTCAGAATTCCAGGGCTAGTTGTGGATTCTAGGATGATAATTCCAAAATGTCCAGAGGATGCCTTGAAGGAACACAGTCCTCACTGCCTTGACCAACAGAAATGTTAGAATTTTCAGCAATGCCCTGTTGGCTGGAAATCTGGGAGTTGAAGTTGGCACTGCCCAGAGGTCACCCTTCAGTTCCTAGAAGTCTCAGCAATGGCCATGTGGCAGCTGGCAAGGGAAAGTTGGGAGCTGTAGTCCACCCATTTAAAGAAGGCCGGTCTCATCCGTTGAGTTTTGGGCCATGTGTGTTGCACCATTTTTATGCAGGTTCAGAAAATATACCCACGTGTAACATCTCTTATCTCCTTTTTTCCTCCAGTGGCAAGCATGGTGTTGGGCGTATTGATATTGTGGAGAATCGGTTTATTGGGATGAAGTCAAGAGGTAAGGGTTCAATATTCTCCTATATGCCCATTTCCAGTGGCTCTAATAATGGGTTTACATAACACATAATCCATGGTATACTCAGCCCAATGTTCTGGTTTTGTAGGACACACTAAACTATACATTGACCATAGAGATTGGGTTCACACAACATGCTAAACTAGAATGGTCTTGATAGTCTGTGGTTCATGAGGACCTTAGCCAACCTATACATTCCCTGCCTGGCAGACAGGCTGTCTTTAAATCTGATGGCTTATATTCAAAAGTGGGCAATTAACGCTATCGTGCCAAGTCCGTGAAGGCCCAGCATTTAAATAACAAGGCTGTCTACTTGAATCTGTCTTGGCAACAGAATCAAGTTGGGTGAAGGAAGTAGCTTCACACCAACATATGGCCATCAACAAACCATCTTTTAACATATCTGGTGGTGGCCTAAAGAATTCTGGGATGGTTCTTCAAGGAATATATTTCCTTTTTCAGAGGTAGCATCTCCATTTCCTCTTTTCTCCCAGATGATGAGGCTGACTAGGTCTTGCTGCCAGAAGGAAGTCACCATCTGGAACTAGTTGTCCATCTAATCCTAATCAGCTGGGTTCACAGTGTATAAATTTAGCCTGCTCAGTGAAAGGCCTGGGAGATATCTTCACACAGCACACCAAGCTTAGTTAGTTTTTTTGTGGTGTGTAGATGTTGTAAGAATCCAGCCTAGTTGGTGGTCTCTGATGGAATATGGCCTGTGAACCCAGAAAATATACAAACCCAACCATACATTTTACATAGGAAAGAATGTTTTTAGAGAGTTGCATATGAGCTGGTGAATATATCACCCATGTTAGTATGGGGAATTCTGGGAGGTGAAGTCCACATATCTTAAAGTTGCCAAGGTTGAGAAACACTGCTCGATACATTGAGGCAGGAAGTTATATTTTTTTCTTGACATCAGGAAGATGACCTTGAAAAAGATATGCAGGAAACATTCCCTAGGCAAAAGGGACTGAATTTTTTTTAAAGTCTAGCGCAATGAGATAGCATTGATTCCACTTTTAGAGCATCATGCTTCTTTGGTTAAGTTCACACTGCTCTAGTCATGGTTTATGGAATAAACCACAATTCTCTGGGTTCACACATCACACCAGTCTATCAGTCTGTCTTGTCTTTAGAAGGAGCATCTTCCGATGCTAACTTGGTCTTGTTTTGTTTTTCCCTTGTAACTAAGGGAAAGGTCCTCCTTGGCTGTACCTTGGCCAGGTAAAGTAGTGTAGAGAGTCAGGAAGACGACCCTGATGAAGATATGCAGGAAATCTTCCCGAGGCAAAAAGGACTGAAACATTTTTTAAGTCCAGAACAGTGAGATAATATTCAGAAGTGACTCAGGCAAATACCTCCCTAATTCACTGGAGTAAAAGGGGGAGAAGGTCCAGCACAATCCGACTTGTAAAATGCTATTATTAGAGCCAATCTCAGTACAAGTAGTTTTAGTCTTCCTGTGGAGTTGATTTCCTGGTCTGGTCTACGTAGTGGGCCTGACACTTTTTCTGTAATGGTCTGTGGGAACAATTTTGGGAGAGAGGAGGAAGAGCTGCAGCCAGGGCAACAGTCAGATAAGAGGCAGCTTAGCCCACAGAAGAAAAAGGGGTGTGGGAAACATCTCAGAAGAGACTCTCCTTTGTTTTTTGGACTGTAAAGGCGAGGGGGAGAGGTGTCCTTTCCGACTTGCAAGATTCTGTTACAATCAAGACAGAGCTAGGACTCCTGGGTGTGCTTCTTGTCTGGGCTACCTCGCAAGACTGGCATTCTTGCAGAGGTTCCCAGGCGAGTGTGCGTGGCCCCAGCTAGGACCACGGATCCTGCCAAGACACCCACAATGCCCTGGTGCAACTTAAGCAGACCCATTGCAAATTAGAACATTTTAAGTAGCAAGAGCTGTCTCGGATTGAATCCACGTAGTCCCCCACCCCGTCCATTCCTTTCTCTCTTCCCCCACCAACTCTCTCCTAGCAGCAATTACAGCACGATTGAAATATACTGAGCCTCCTGACACTGCTGTCTTTTTACTGTAAACACAGAGAAATGCAGTTGACACTCCAAGTGGCGGAGTGACACTTTTGAAGGGATCTCTTGTCTCTTGCATAGTAACACAGGAAGAGCATCTATCATTTGCTTCTTTTCTCGCGCTGTGATTTGCACTTTGACTGTCAGAGGAGAGGGGAGGGGAGTAAAAATATCCAAAATATTACTTTGCCTTCCAAACGACCGTCCTCGTAGCTTCAGCTTCCTGTCACCGATCAAGCAAAAATATTAGAAAGCGGGAGGAAGATGAAGGGGGGGAAAAAGGTGTCTTCTATTTTCATTTATTTTTCCTGAGTAAAATGGCTGGGGGGGAGGGGGAAATTGGAAGGGGAAATGCATAAAGGAGAGGAAAAATTGAATGAGAGCTTACGCATATATGCAAACATTAAAACACCAGCTTTTTATCAGTCTAAATTAACTTTAACATCCCCAGAGGAAGAGATCTTTTTTCTGACACAGCAGATCTCGCTAGGGCTTGCTTGCTCTTTTTTTTAGTTCCCCTCTAAGGTTTCCAGTTGCTATCAGAGGGTTGCAAAGGATATATATAATATATCATGTATAATACATAACGTATTTTATATATACAGTGTGTATGTGTATCCTTGTCTGTAATTAAAGGAATACATGTACGTAGTATGTATAGAATGTATAGAATGCATAACATATTATCTATCTATCTATCTATCTATCTATCTATCTATCTATCTATCTTTGTGTGTAATTAAAAGGAAAAAAATCCTCCTTCTTCACTCCCCCTTGCACCAAAGCCACCCGTCCCTTCCAAAGCCCCTTGTTTATTCCCAACTAAAAGTTGTGCAAGAGGTTGAAATTACAGCCCAAGAAAGAAAGGCAAAAGTCTTCATCGGCGTATTGATTTAATTCTAATTTTAATTGGGATGTGGTCTTTAACTGCCCTGGTGTTCTCAGCTTACAGTCTTTCCAACCGTTTTCTCAGGTTAAATTTATTTATTTATTTGTGTAGTCGTTGTTGTGTTTATGTTCCGTTTTTCCTCTTGGACCTCAAGGGAAAAATGAAACAAGCCTAACTGACTGTGTGAATGCAACGACTAGACCTTTACCCTGATGGAAGCGTGTTGCATGAAGATACAGCCGTAGTCATAATGAGCAACTCTGGGAAGTTCCCTTGTCTAAGGAGACTTTTGCAGCCTTTCTGGGTAGCACAAAGTGGGGAACCAGACACACAGTCTGTGCTAATCTGCTTTGTGCAGCTTCAACGGGCTTCTCCTGAACCCAAGGCCAAAGTGCTATGTTCCAATAATGCATGAAGCTACAGTATGCAATGGGCAGAAGGAATCACAGGAACAGGAGGAAGAGCCACAACCAAGACAATGGTCAGATAAAAGAAACCTGAGTCCAGGGCAGAACTGTAATCTGAGGAAGCGTCTCAGACAAGATCTTCCCTAGTTCTCACAAAGATAAAGGGAGGGAGGGAGGGGGAAGCACATTCAGACTAGCAAGATTCTGTTACTATAAATATATAATAAAAGTAGAATTAGCTTACATGTCTTTGGTGTCCACGTTTGCTCTATCTTGAAGGGCTGACACTATATATCTACTGTCTGTCTGTCTGTCTGTCTGTCTGTCTGTAATGGACAGAAGGAATAATCTTGAGGAATAGGAGGAAGAGGTTCAGCAAAGACAACAGTCAGATAAAAGAACTCTGAGTCTAGGGCAGAAATGTAATCTGAGGAAGCGTCTCAAATGAGACCCTCCCTAGTTCTCTTGAAGATAAAGAGAGGGAGGGGGGAAGCGTGTTGAGACTTGCAAGATTGATGTCAACACTTCGAGGTAGTCTAGACCAGGAAACCCAAGTTATGAATGCTAATACTACTTTATTATAAGGTTACAGTAACAGAATCTTGCAAGTCTGAATGTGCTTCCCCCTCCTTCCCTTTATGTTCAATCGTGATTTGTTGAATAAATCACAGTGGGTTGTATTTGCGTAACATATTATGCCGTGAAGGAAACTCACCATGGTTTGGACAAGCTGCTAAGACGAAACACAACTCACACCAACGCATGAATCCCGTTGGGTGGACTGACAACTGTCTGAAGACAGTTTCTAACCTACCTTACATCAAAGGTGGTCATTGTCTACCTCTCCTGTTTCCTACAAGCCAACAGGAACCTTTGAGGATTCTGCAGGTTTGGGTGGTTGGTTGACTGTTTGTCCTGATGTGTCCTTGCTTCAGGGATATACTGCTCCTGCAGATGGGGACTCCACCAAGCCCTTGTGACTTTCAGAGCTGTAGACCAAAGGCCCAAATCAGGATTATTTTATTTTCCATTGAAAAACAACCTGAATCCACTTAAGCTCCAGAATTGCTGGGGGCTGGGTGGAGTACAGATTGAATACATGAGCAAATAAAAATAACGATTGATTCCAAAAAGCTGATCGCTGCTAATCCCTGGTACCGAGTTCTCCCCGGAGAATGAAACTTTCCTTGTGCAATGCGTTTTCCAATCTTGGGAGACCCTGAAGGACTAAATCGGGTCCTCCATGAAGGAAAACGCATGGAAACTCTCCCTCTGATTCTGCTGTTTTCCATTCTTCCCTGCTTATCAAGGTCTCCCCCTGCTTTTTTTCCCCCTTGTTCGGTGGAAGAGTAAAGGGGGAGAGAGATGAGAGGGAAGATTCTTTTTTTTACAGACCCCCATGACTTTGCCCCGCGTGGTTGTTTAATTACAGGTTTTCAGCCCCAGACTGGTGGGCATCCATCGGTGGGGAATCGCCTTCTTAAACCCTGTCATTTAGCCTTGTTGGAGTGTTTCTTCAAAAAGAGGAATCTAGAAATTTTCTCCACAAGGTGCGGACTGGACTGTCTCGGCCCCAGCGGGATTGTAATGACAGTTGCGTTTTATGGCAAGCTGAGACTGAATAGAGCCGGGACTGCATTTCCTTCTGTCAACCGAATCATTATTTTTTGTCATTTCGTGACAGTTTAGGACTCATTCTCCATTCTCTTTTCTCCTCCGTCTTCCCCCAACCCTTTCCCCCTCCTCTTGGATGAAATGGCTAGGTATCTATGAGACTCCAGCGGGGACAATCCTCTACCACGCCCATTTAGACATCGAGGCCTTCATGATGGACCGTGAGGTGCGGAAAGTCAAGCAAGGGCTGGCCTTGAGGTTTGCCGAGCTGGTATACAACGGTACGTAACAACGCACAGACGTTCCCTCTCCCCAGACCATCTTTTTCCCAAGCTGTAGAAGCCAGAATCTTTGGATCAAATGCTGGTCTGTCACTTTTCCTGGTTGATGAGCTGTCAGCCTTGTGAGGTAGTCCAGACAAGCACGCCCAGAAGTCCTAGCTCTATCTTGATTGTAAAGTTATATTATATCAACTAGGGAGGGTCCCTTCTGGGACGCTTCCCATGTCCCTTTTCCTTTTGTGGGCTAAGCTGCCTCTTATCTGGCTGTTGTCTAGTCTGCTCCTCTTCCTCCTGTCTCCCAAGGTCATTCTCACATACCTTTACACAGCAGACTGGGACCCTTAAGCCATTTCACAAGTCCATAAAAAGCAGGTATTTCCAAGGTAGAGAACATTGCTGGCCAGACATCATCGACAGGAATGTTGCAAATGTTATCTGAGTCTGGGTAGTTGTGACAAGGAAGTCCTCAACTCCTGGTGTCTGAAAATCCCATTAGCCCCATGGCAAGAGATTGTGGATTCTCCAAAACATCTAGAGATCATTGGCTTCTCTCTACCTGACTCAAATGTTGCCCAGGAGGTAAGCACGACAGACTTTTCCCATCAATGATTATTTGCTTCTTCTCTTCTGTCTCACATTCCCAGCCCCTGAAAAGCAGTATTTGTCTGCAAATATTTCATCCTTATAAACAGCCAGCTTCTACATCCTTAAGGATGAGAAGCATCATGTTTTCTGTGGGTGTGCAAAACTCCAGGACTGCAGAGACTTCTGCTTAGGAATAATGTTGAACAACACTGGCAAACCACTAGACTTCCAGGAATTTAGCTTTCCCACCGGGCAGCTGATCTGAGCCCCTCTTCATTTTGTCCATATTTCGGCTTTATTGCTTTTTTAAAACCTTGACAAAATGATATGAAACTTTTTGCGCCTAATTATTTTCCTAATACACTTTTTTTTTTTTACTTACAGTGGGAGGGGCTCTTTTGTTGTGGTGGTTTGGTTTGGGTGTGCAAATGGATGCATTTTTAAATATCTCTTTTGGGCTAGAGAAACTGCATTGCAAAATGCAATAGAGCGTTCTGAAGGATTTCTGCATTTTGCTTCACTTGTGTGGAAGACCCAAAACTCTTCCCAACCGAGGCTTTGAAAATGCATCATCTCAGGTCTTGCTGATCTTGATGAGGCCCTGTTTTTTGCCCCAATGAGAGTTTCTGACTTGACTCTGGAAGCCAATGGGAAAACAGGCATGAACTCATTTTGAGTCCCCCGACTTAAAATACTGACACCATCACCCTTGATGTATTGGTGCAACCCAACTTTAGAAAATCAGGACAAGTAAACAAGAGAAAAAGAGGCCCCAGCCTCAGAAGCAGCTTAAGTGAATGTCACTAATTGTTCCAGAAGTGGATTTTTTTAGGGTGGGTAATAAAATAATATGGACAAAGGACAATGTTACTGCAACTTCTCTCTGATCGCCTCCTGAAAGGAAATTTCCTGGCAAACAGGCTCAACATTGGTTGCTCTGTTCTGTGAGCTTGATAAGCTCAGAAACTCTAGCCACCACCACTTAATCTACAGTCCAAGAGGGTATTTCTTCAGCCTCTCTGGTATGTTAATGTAAAGACACCCTTGTGCTAAGTTAAACTCTTGAGCGCTCATGGACGTGTTTATGTACTTTTCTTAGCAACAGTGCAGAAAAGGTTTGCCATTGCCCTCTTCTGGAATTTATATTTTTACTTCCCAGTCTTACAACTGAGAATTTCCTGGTGGTCTCCCATTCAATTAGCAATAAGGTCCAAGTTTACATAGCTTTTTTAGTTGGCTGGGTACCATCACTTCTACTCACCAGCCTCCAAAATAGAAAGTAGCTGTTCAGGGAACCAATCTAGTCTGGCCCTTCTCCCAAATGTCCGCTGGCTCCTATAAGTTGTCCTCTGATGAATGATGAACCTGAGGCTCTCAACATGGTGCTGAATTGCAACTTCCAGCCCTCCTGGAAAGCATCTGCAAGAGAGAGGGATGCTGGGAGCTGGATTTGAGCAACATCTGGAGAGATGTTGGCCTAGAAGAAGTGGGGGTGTTTTAATAGTGTGGGAGCTTCTGGCTTCCTCCAGAACTTTACTACCAAGATGAGTCTCAGTTGAGTCAACTGGGCCAGCTTCAACCTTCATGGGAGTTCTCCATGGTGCTGAAATATCTCTTTTCTCCAACGCTTTGCACTCCATAAAGTAGAACCTGCTGGCTAGACAGATTTTTCCACCATGAAGTTATTTCCATGCCTGCTTTAATTCCTTACAAGTTCAAGACTCTTAAAATATGCACACACCCCAACTAAAGAACAATATAAGCATACTTTACTATTATACAAAAGGCTATCTACTTTGAAAAAGAAACTTAAGCTGTTCTATATTTGAAAAACATATATAATGAGGAAAGGAAAGGCATATAGGTAGTCCCTGGGTTAAGAATGCCCAGTTCACAGATGACCCATAGTTCAGAACAGAGCCTATTGTAGCAAAATTCAAGTTAAATACACAATGATTCGAGTTCAATACACAATGGTTTGAGTTCATTACACAATACTACTTCTACAGGATTATACAATAATACTGTTCCGGCTTGCGTACAAATTCGACTTAAGGACAGACCTTGGGAATGGAACTCGTTCTGAAACTGGGGACTACCTGTACTAAATTATTTGAGGCTGGGGGAGGAGAACAATGACAAAAATGAACCCCCTAGAAAAGGAAAGAAATTTAACAAAGAAAACCAAAACACAACTGAACAACTAAGCAAAACTAAAAAATACCTTGATTTGTATTTTCCAACATGCTGTCAAACATAGTGGCCTGGAAATACGCTTGGGGGGGGGGGATTCACTCAGCAGATTGTCTAGCTGTGAGTGGGTTTAAGCCCCCACTCAACCAATTTTGGGCCAGTGTGTACCTCTTAATTATCCACTCTTATTTTTCTTACCAAAAGAAATCTGCTATGTAGAGTCAGCCCACACTGGGGCACTGTGCATTTTAGCTTGGACTGAAAGGCCCAGGTGGTTTTGTTAGAGGAAATGCATGAAAATGGGAGATGAAATCCTGGTTTGTATTTTTAAAAAGTGCCAAGGAGTCCTTTAGCAGAAGACAAGGAGGTTGTTACCCCTGACATTTTCAAGCAGCTGTGTGGTCAGCAGGGTGAGCCATTACTGGATTGCTGCCAACTGGGAAGGTGAAAATAAAGGGGAACCAAAACAGTGGTTGAGTTGGAAGCACAGAAACAACAACTAGAAATATCTTATTGCACAGAAATAGGGGAGGAGGCCCATTTTAAATAGGACTTTGGGTTCTCTTCCCAATCGGATCCCAAACAACCTAATGGTCTTCTTTCTTTTTAGCATATTATAAATACTAACCCTGAGCTAGAAGGTTTTGCAAAGTTTGGACCAATTTCCTCTCTTTATTGATTTGTTATAGAAGCCTTGCCATCTAGCGTGACTTAGAGTCTCAGGAACAATGTATTTAGTTGCTGAGGACCCAGCTGAGTTTTGGAAAAGACCCCATTCCAACCTGTCAGCTCTGTAATGCAAATTAATTCCAAAGGGGGCATCTCTTGAACCTGAGACTTCTGAGTAGGATTTCTGTTGGCTTTTCTTTAATGATCTTTATTCCCCAGCCAAAAAAGAAATCAGAGATCAGGTTGAGGGGAATACAAAGAAGCTCAGAAAAAGCTAGCACATCTGAGAACAGCCTTTCTTTCAGATGTTTTCGGAAGGACTGCAACTCCCAGAATGTCCAACCAGGTGATTTCCAGCAGTGGTCGCTGGAAATGCTGGGGGTTTCAGTTCCAATGCATCTTGAAAGCAGCAAGTTGGAAAAGCTGCAGTGGAACAACTCCTCTCATCGCTGGGAGCTGTCCAAGGTCCAAAAGCAGCCATTGCTGTTGGTGATCTTCCAATGACCATCAAGTGGCTCCTAGTTTCTTGCTCTGACCTTTTAATCTAGGCTGCTAAGTAATCTGTTGCTCTCACATTCCTGTGTTTTATCATGGGACACCCAAGACAGAACTGTTTGTGGTGGTCTGGCTGGCCCCACCATTAAGCAAAGTAAGGTAGTCATCTTAGAAAGTTGCTTCAAGAAGAAAGTGACAACAGGGTACTGGAAGATAAAGTCATATGTATCCTTTAGACCAGTGTTCCTCAACCTTAGGAACCTGAAGATGAGTGGGCTTCAACTCCCAAAATTCCTGGGAGTTGAAGTCCACACATCTTCAAGTTCCCAAGGTTGAGGAACACCGCTTTAGACTGTCTTGTTAGTCTGTTACTTCCAAATAACCATACTAGAGAGTGTTTCTACATTCAATGGGATCACAGCCGTGTTATCCTTTGCCTTAGGCAGCAAAATGCCTTGGACTAGACCTGAAAGATATATTGGGGATCTTCTAAGCAGAGAAAGATGTAAGGGAAAGATGCCCACTGCTATCCATCTCACCACTGTTGCACCCTTGAACAAGCTTTTGAAGAATACTATCTCCAAATTTGCTTGGCAATTTCTGAAAAGTTTTTTTTTTCTCCTGCAAAAGGCATGTGGGGTTTTTTGGGGGGGAGGGGGGTTTAATTATGCTCAGGATGGTTGAGAATTTCTTTTGTTTCTTTGGGGGTGTTTTGAATTGACTTTATAATTGGAAGTGGCAGTAGTAGTGGTGTTTTTTGTGATATGTCTTTCTAGCTGTCCTGTTTTCCACCTGAAAAAGCTCCAGAGAGGATCTCCCTCCTGAGGCTCCCCTTGAGATGAAATAGAAGGATGGGATGTCAGGGAGGCTGCAGATGGCTGGAAAGAGGATTTTATGTTCCCATGTCTCTATCCCTCTGCAGCCTCCCTGCCTGATCCCACTTCCCCATCTGAAAAGGTCTCTCCCCTTGGGATTAAGGTGGAAACCAGGGAGGCTGCAGGTGGCTGGAAAGAGGACTGTGTGTTCCCCATCTCTCTGTCCCTTTGCAGCCTCCCTGG